TTTGCTCCTCTCCTTGAAAAGCAAAAGAAAAACTCCCTCATTGGTACACAATCCCCCCCCCGCACCTCCCCAAACCTCACCTCCTACCCCCAAATATAATCCACTCTGCAACCCTCATTGCATACTGCTTAGTATATTCTTAAGATGAACAATGGCCACATCTTTTCTTCACAGTGGTGAAACCCACATTTAAAAGTTTACCTTTTTGCCACTTTAAGCATAACTGTGCCAACACAAAAGCACCAATTTGGTTCTCATTAACCAACACAATTAGAATCTTGCAGATATTCTGTTCTCAACTGTCCTTTGCTGTTGAAAATTAACTTTTAGGGTTGTTCATTGTAGAAAGAGATCAACTATATCTGACAGACTAAAGTAAACACAGGAAAGTTTGTGGAAGGGAAATGCATTTCCCTATTATATTTGAATAATCAAAACTGAAAAGAAACGACACTTTCAACCTCCCTAGTCTCCAGGTGTCTAAGTTCTCTAGTGCTAAAATCATGTAGTGATAAGGTATTTCTTTATACTTTGTTGTTGTGTGAATTGGAACCAATCATTGCTGACCCTCTGGCTGGTATTCAGTGGCAGTTGATTACACAGGAGGAAGAAAATAATTAATGTATTAACTGAAAATTTAACTGAAAGTGAGTGATTATAAATTCTCAGAGAATCTGACAATTCCATTTTAATAAATCTTACTTCTAAGTATCCTCTCTTAGACAAATAAACAGGATACAAACAACCAAAAAGTTCTAACTTCACTTGCTTCTGTTTATCATATAGAACTCTAGCAGAGATATTCACATGATTCTACAAAGAATGTCTTCTCATTATATTAGAAAAAACAGATGGAATATACATAGCTATGCATCTTTTCTAGTTAATTTAAGCAACATTAACATTCAAAAGTGCCCATATAAAATGTTCTTCTGTAAGAAGAAAAATAAGCTGATTAAAATATTTTTCAAAAACACGTCTGAAGGAGACAAAAGTGGAATAGAATTTCAGGGAAACAGATCTAAAATAAACTCTTCTCAACTAATACATCAATCAGTTCATGATTCAATTTAAACCTGCATTTTAAAATTCTACTTCTCAGTACCCAAATGGAAATGCCACCATGGTCTACATTAAAAAATTTTTCATTCATACATTTTAGATAATAAGACTATCGAAGGATGGGTAATCTCCTCCCGTGCAATTTACTGCCTCTGAAAACCCACCAGAGAGTCGCCCATGGGTCACTTCTGACCCAATGATACACCACAACAACACAGGAGTGATAGAGAATAAAATCAGTTAGTAATTTACCTTTTCTAAATAGAATATAGTGGCATCAATTCTATGTTCATCCTTGTAATGCTGAACAGCTAGCTCAACGCTAAACAAGACTACAGAACTTAGACTGTTGCTGTCACATAACTTATTTTATATTGGCTATCATTTTACCTTAATGGTATTCAATGTGATGTCTTATACACAGCAGGTACACAAGAAATATGTGCTTTATTCTTTCAAAATTAACTTACCCTCCGAAATGACACAACATAAAAAGTGTCTCCCCTTCTGCGGATGGCTTCAAAGAAGTTTTGATAACTTCTGGGTGAAGCATAATACACTTGTAGTTCACTTCCTGAGTTCCTAACATTAAAAAAAAAAGTTTTTTTAAAACTAAA